CCACAATAGATTTGAAATGAAACGAACAAGATGTGCTTTAACTGCAGACTGTCAGCTTTAATTTGAGGGTATTTACATCCAAATCAGGTGAACGGTGTAGGAATTACAACAGTTTGCATATGTGCCTCCCACTTGTTAAGGGACCAAAAGTAATGGGACAGAATAATAATCATAAATCAAACTTTCACATTTTAATACTTGGTTGCAAATCCTTTGCAGTCAATTACAGCCTGAAGTGTGGAACGCATAGACATCACCAGACGCTGGGTTTCATCCCTGGTGATGCTCCGCCAGGCCTCTACTGCAACTGTCTTCAGTTCCTGCTTGTTCTTGGGGCATTTTCCCTTCAGTTTTGTCTTCAGTAAGTGAAATGCATGCTCAATCGGATTCAGGTCAGGTGATTGACTTGGCCATTGCATAACATTCCACTTCTTTCCCTTAAAAAACTCTTTGGTTGCTTTTGCAGTATGCTTTGGGTCATTGTCCATCTGCACTGTGAAGCGGCGTCCAATGAGTTCTGAAGCATTTGGCTGAATATGAGCAGATAATATTGCCCCAAACACTTCAGAATTCATCCTGCTGCTTTTGTCAGCAGTCACATCATCAATAAATACAAGAGAACCAGTTCCATTGGCAGCCATACATGCCCACGCCATGACACTACCACCACCATGCTTCACTGATGAGGTGGTATGCTTAGGATCATGAGCAGTTCCTTTCCTTCTCCATACTCTTCTCTTCCCATCACTCTGGTACAAGTTGATCTTGGTCTCATCTGTCCATAGGATGTTGTTCCAGAACTGTGAAGGCTTTTTTAGATGTCGTTTGGCAAACTCTAATCTGGCCTTCCTGTTTTTGAGGCTCACCAATCATCTTGTGGTGAACCCTCTGTATTCACTCTGGTGAAGTCTTCTCTTGATTGTTTACTTTGAAAACACATACACCTACCTCCTGGAGAGTGTTCTTGATCTGGCCAACTGTTGTGAAGGGCGTTTTCTTCACCAGGGAAAGAATTCTTCGGTCATCCACCACAGTTGTTTTCCGTGGTCTTCCGGGTCTTTTGGTGTTGCTGAGCTCACCGATGCGTTCCTTCTTTTTAAGAATGTTCCAAAAAGTTGTTTTGGCCACGCCTAATGTTTTTGCTCTCTCTCTGATGGGTTTGTTTTGTTTTTTCAGCCTATGATGGCTTGCTTCACTGATAGTGACAGCTCTTTGGATCTCATCTTGAGAGTTGACAGCAACAGATTCCAAATGCAAATAGCACATTTGAAATGAACTCTGGACCTTTTATCTGCTCATTGTAATTGGGATAATGAGGGAATAACACACACCTGGCCATGGAACAGCTGAGAAGCCAATTGTCCCATTACTTTTGGTCCCTTAACAAGTGGGAGGCACATATGCAAACTGTTGTAATTTCTACACCGTTCACCTGATTTGGATGAAAATACCCTCAAATTAAAGCTGACAGTCTGCAGTTAAAGCACATCTTGTTCGTTTCATTTCAAATCCATTGTGGTGGTGTATAGAGCCAAAAATGTTAGAATTGTGTCGATGTCCCAATATTCATGGACCTGACTGTACATCAGCACAAAACATACATAAACTAAATCTCTATAAAAAAATGTCTGGAAATTTCTGGGTTGGTCTGTTGGTATTTGCTACATTGTGAAATTATGAATGAATTATGTTCCTAAGTGATGGATTGTCTGGGTTCATATATAGCCAAGTAAAAGAAAAATACACGTAAACAGTGCCGCACAGTACTGTATGTAAAAGGTTCAATAAAAGCACTATACGAGAACTTCTCTTATAGTGTTGTGTCATGCACATTAAAAATTACGACATATTCACACAGGGATGTCGATTTCCTATCGCCAGACGCCCGAGACATGCAGTTCTGAGTGCCAGGCAAGAAGTTTCTTTTAAGATTTAGCCCTCCTCTTTTAAGGTTTAGAGCCGCCCTCCTGCAGGCTGTTCCCATCGACTAGCTGGCGCTTCTGCCAGCTAATAGAGAAGGCAATGGCAGAACCTGCTGCAGAGCATGCCAGGGAGAGATTGGTACCTCCTCCCCCCCCAGTGTCCTACTCATCCCCGACCCTGAGGCTTGCAGTGATTGGGCGAGACTTGCGCGGGTATGGCCGGCCTCGGAAGTGGTCACTCTTTGCCACAGGTGTGCTGTGAGAGAAGACTTCAGGATTGGTATGTGTGCTCTACAGCGATGGAGAGATAGTGATCAGGAAGCACATGGTAATACTTTCATTGCTAGAAGTTAGTGACAGGACATTATTAACCCTTTCATTGCTGGCAGATGAGATTCCAGTTGGAAGTGCATGATTAACCCCTTCACACCTGCACCTCTCGGCCCTTTAAGGGGTTTCTGACGCCGGGAGGAGGGGCAGGGTTTAGGGTCATGTGACCACCGTGATTGGCGGTCACGGCAGTCACATGATCGGAAAAGTCCTGACCGCAAGGAGAGATTGGGAGCTTTCCTTGGGACACCAACACACATCCTGGGAGCTTGCAGGGTGCGCGCTCTTAGCACGTTTGTTTACAAATGGCACACAAATATGCGGCCACTTGGCCCAGCTGCCGAGAGGCCGCATATTTGTATACCGTCAGCGTGAAGAGGTTAGCCTTTTCAGATCTGTGTTGGAAATGTATGAATAATCATTTCATTGCTAGCAGATCCCTGGTGGAAATATGCATTTCCATTAAGGATCGGTTAGCAGTGAAATGGTTAATCATAGGCTTCCAACACATTTATGGTTTTGGTATTTACAGAGTGTATTCACCTAATAGGGGCAGCTGCCACAAGTGCCTTTTAGGCAGAACTTGTAGCTTTATTTTAGTACATTAACCTTTACAAGATCACATAGGTGCCACGATTTTTTTTTTTTTTTTTTTTTTTTTATTTCGGTGTTAAGAGATCCTGACGCTCCCCTTTGCTGATGAACACCCAATCGATGCTCATCACACTGCAAGGTCTCTCCTCTCCCTGCTAATCCCCAGGTGCAGTGCTGAAGACAGGCAGGGAGGTGAGGAGGACATAAACAGCCTAATGTTAAAAATATTAATAGTTTAAGTTGCCATACAGCCCCTTTCATTTTTAAAAGCCCCAGATATTCCTAAAAGCACCTAAAATTTAAAGTTGTTGTAAAGGCTCAAGGTCTTTTTACCTTCATGCAATATATACATGAAGGCAAAAAACCTTCTGTGTTCAGCAGCTCCCACTAACACTTCCCTGAACCCCATCCCGATAAAGCAATGTCCACGAAAACCTTGGTTCTCCAGGGACTCTCACTCCTGATTGGCTGATGCCAATGGTTACCGCTGCTGTCAATCACAGCCAGTGAGCCAATCAGGAGAGGGCGGGGGCGAGCCAAAGCACAGCTCTGTGTGTGAATGGACACACAGAGCCAAGGCTCAGAAGTGTGCCTGCTCAGGTTCCCCCATATCAAGCTGCTTACTGTGGGAGCACCTGACAGAAAGGAAGGGCCAGGAGTTCTAGGAGGGGACCCGAGAAGAGGAAGATCCAGGCCTCTCTGTGCAAAACCATTGCACATAGCAGGTAAAAATGACATTATGTTTGTTATTTAAAAATAAACACAAGACTTTAGTATCACTTTAAAGCGGAGTTCCACCTGAAAAAAAATAAAAAGTCAGAAACTACAAAAACTGTAGTTGCTGACTTTTAAAATACAGTCACTTACCTGTCCCTCGGTCCAGCAGTGTCCTCACCATGGCTGGTTTCACCGTCCGTCTTCTCTCCCCGGCATCTTCAGTGTGGGCACCCAGCTGTGACAGCTTGCGGATTCACAGCTGAGTGCCCACTGCGCATGGCCTGTTGTCTTCAGAAACCTGTCACATGTCCCAGAAGACTACAGGGTGGAGGACAACATCTGCTTCTGATCGCCTAGGCGATCACAGCGGAAGTGGGAGCGGGTACCTGTCAAATTGGTGTACCTACTCCCCCAAAGTGCCAATCCTTAATGAGGAGCGGGGGAAAAAGGCTTAAAATGGAACTTCCCCTTTTGGGTGGAGAGCCGCTTTAAATAGTTTTGGTAAAATTATTATTTTTTTTTTTTAATCAGAAGATTGGGACCCCACTTAAAGTGGAGCTCCACCCAAAAGGGGAAGTTCCGCTTTAAGGACTGCTCCCCATTAAGGATTGGCACCTTTTGGTTGGGGGGAGCGGGTACCCGAATTTGACAGGTACCTGCTCCCACTTCTGGTCCGATCGCCTAGGCGATCCGAAGGTGTCCTCCCTCCCTGTAGTCTTGTGGGACACGTGACAGGTCCCAGAAAACTACGGGGCCATTCATGAAGCGCAGCGCTACTCCCGCATGCATAGTGGGTACCCAGCTGTGAAGCCACAAGCTGTCACAGCTGGGTGCCCACACTGAAGATGCCGGCCTCCTGGAATACAGCTGGTGAAACGGGCTGCGGGGGACACGCCACCAGACAGGTAAGTGTGGCTGTTTTTTTAAAATTCAACAGCTACAGTTTTTGTAGCTGCTGACTTATTTTTTAACAGCGTGAGTGGAACTCCACTTTGAGTCCCTAGACAAGCAGTTTTTCTTTTTTAAATTTCCACACACCTGAGAGCCCAGTGCCCAGTAGGATCTTGTGATTTCAAAAAGGTATTTAAAGATAATTTAACTGATCTATTATACAATTGCTTCCAGGTTTCAACTTGCATCACATAATGAAAAAAAAAGTATTCATTAGGTTAGATACACTGTAAACTATAGAGGTGACATCTGTGTAGCAGAGCTGTATGAATCCAAGGAACGCACGAACAGAAATACAAATGCTGCCAATTAAAATGGGTCCTATATATGCATTTCAAGTGTCTATAGCTACCAGGAGGCTGCTGGTTTACTGTTTGGCCCTGATCTCAGGTTATAGAAAAAGTCCTACGACCCAGCACCATATAAAGGTAACACACCTCCTCCTGCAAAATGCCACTGAACACAACAACAAAACTCACATCATACCTCCACAGCGCACCTGAGTGCAGACACTGAGCCGGAAACTGCAAAGGGAAATCCTTCCATGCTACATATGACCCCGCCCGCCATTCACTCCACAGCCAACGGTAGATCGGAACACACAGCGCCAATCAGCATTCACCTCTCATTCCACTGCCTCGCTAACCTACGCAGTCTGAGAAAGAATAGCATCGATTGGCTGCAAGTACAGCATCATTTGTGTATAGGCCTTGTTGGATTTTTAGGTATTAATAAAAAAGTACAACTGCAACACTACCGGAAATTACACCGCTGCTTTCAAATGTTGCCATATTTTTAGGTGTAAATAAAGTTGTGCACACAAAAAAATCACATCAACCCAGGCGCCTTATGAACTCGTAATGAGCATGCGCAGCGTCTCTTACACCGGTGCCACGTCTAGGTTACGAGTAGGTTCCGTCAGCCCAGAAGTGTTTTCCTGGCTGAAGATTGAGCTTTACTTTCGACAGTAAACATGTGACCTCCACTTCACTATTTTTAAAAAATTAACTTTATAAACAACCAATGGCTGCAGCCTGGAGCTCCACTTGACAGGAAACAAGTGACCTCCATTCTAACGTTTTTTCACATGAACTTTAATGTATCCTACAACTAATAGACACAACTCGAGGAGGTCACATGTTTCCTGTCGAAAGTGGAGCTCCAGTTTGCAACCAGACCTCTACGGCGCGAGCCAGGAGGTGCTCTCAGTAGGGGGCGAGGCGTGGGTTGCGTCCCTAGCAACCAGTAAATGCTATTCAGAGCGCTACAGTCGGGTGCCAGAGCTATTGGGAGCAGCAGGTTTCTGGCGTTGCGGAGTGTCAGGCCGTCTGACCAATGGACTCTGAAGCCTGCAATGGCATGTGGAGCCAGGGATTTATGGGCGGTGTTAAACTAGCCTCTGGGTGTATGAGGGAGGAGATTGCGGAGCCGAGGTGGGAAAAGAGAATCACTGGGACAGATCGACCCTGATTGGTTTGTCTCCTTGCAGAGAATGAGAGCTGGCGATTCGGGCCGGGCTGTCAGGAGGCTCGGATCCAGGCCGCTATTCAGTGAAGGCGGTTGTAATTAGAGGGATCGATGTTCCAGAATGGATGTTCCCGGTTGGTTGGAGCTGTCATGTGCAGTCATCAATTGGGACAGAATGTAATATGTATATACAGATCTTCCACAGGATCGATCTGCCAATTGGCTGGTCTGTCGGCAGCGTTAGAAAAGCATTGAAAAGACAGGTGACTGTGCTGTCACTTTATTTCTGTCCAGGGCTGGGGCATGGCATTCTATCACACACACAGGCTGCACCAATCTGTTTAATAATTAACAATTCAACTATCGACCGGATCTGTCAGATCAGCAGGCAGATTGTGGTGTCTAGTACAAGGTGATCACTAGGAGAAATCCCAGGACCACACTAGGCATATGGCTTTTACCAGAACTGCAGTTAGAAACTACAGGGCCCCATACAGCCAACCTGTCAGGGCCCCCTTCCAAAAAACCTCCCCAAAAACAATTATCTATGCTTTAGTTATGAATGAACACGGTGAATGATTGGTACCGATCACTCATTGCGTTCATTCAAGAAAGAAAGTAGCTGGTATATGTGACATTTACCGGATCCTTCCCCCACTCTCCATCCTGAAGGATCCTAATGTGTGGTTACAGCTGCTGTTGGAAAGGAAAGGACGGAAGCCAGCAGCACTGTGGGGGCACACGGGGGCCTGGACAGCAGGGGGGAACGTATGGTGCACAGAGAGGGTGGTGGGGGGTGTTACTGGAACTGATCCCCTGTATGGCTCACTTTGCAGCAGCTGGAAGCCAGATATTAGCTGCTGCGCAGAGAAACACACAGGGGATCGGTTCCAGTAATTGCCCTCCCGCCACACTGATCACCCTCTCTGCCCACATCCAATTCACCCAGCTGCTTGGGCCCCGTACAGAAGGCCCCCTTATCCACGGCCCTGGCTTTGACTTCTGTCTGACTTGCTGCTTTGCTACGCCTATCAGAACACTAAGTCCCATCTCCACCACTTGGAGCTTAGTGGAAATGTGAGGTTCCCTACATAGGATGATGATTGGTGGAGATGGGTTTAATTCCAGAGGAGGGAAGTTCAGCACCAAGCCAGAAGTCAGGGATTAATATTATTATTATTATTATTATACAGGATGTGTTTAGCGCCAACAGTTTACATAGTGCTTTACTGATTGGTCCTGAATTTCCAGCACACCCTGGGGCCACATAAAACAGAAGGCCTGAATGCTGACACCCAATCTATTTAACTATTCCAATACTCCTGTGTGTAAAGAAGGTTCACACCTGAGTTTTCCACTGTGTTTTGCAGAAACGCACAGCAGTCCATATAACATTATTTCCTATGGGAAAGGTTCACATCTCCACGTTTTCACCCGGTGCGTCTTTTGGAAAGGTTCAGGAATTTTTTTAAACGCAAAACGTTGCGTTTTTGGTTCTATAGACTTCAATGGAGACACTGCAAAAAAGCATGTAGTGCTTTTTTGATGCATTTTGCATTTTATTCTGCCCAGCAACAAGTTGAAAAAAAAACGCAACGCAAAAAGCACTGCAGAAACGGATCAAACAAGCTGCATAGGTGTGAACCTAGCCTAAAGAAGGTTCAATGGAATTTTAAAGAAGATGTAAGAGCTATTTATAGTGCTTCGAAGAAAAAAAAGCTGAATTTTAAAGTGTTAGTATACTCAGATTTTTCATTGTACCTAAATGTAAGCTTCTAATAAGGTTTACCTGTAGGTACTGTGAATAATTTGGCTGATAATTCAGCTCTAGTCAATGACATCACTGCTCATGCATGGTGCATTCTGCATTCAGGGCACACCAAGTATGCCCTGAATACATTGCACCATGCTGCAATTGTGACTTCCATGCGCATGAGTGACATCATAGCAGCCAGGACATTCAGACAGATGGAAAGTGCAAATCCAGAAGGAAGACTAGGCAAAGATAGATGTCCCTGCAGTGGTGAGTCTGTTTGTGACTCGGTTTGTAAGGCAAGTCTGTTATATTTTACTGGTATGAAATGCATACTAGTATGTTATGGCATTAACCTTGGAGGTTTGCACCAAAAACGCCAAGTGGGTGCATTTTTGATGTGTTTTTGCTGTGTTTTCTATTGATTTTCTATTGATTTCAATGGGGAGGTGCATTTTAGTACATTTTTTACCGTACAAGACCTGCACCAAAACTGCAGCAAGCAGGATTTCAAAAAATGCACCGGAACAGATCTTTGTGAAGAGTTGCATAGGAATATATGGTCACTTTTTTTTCTTCTGCTTTTTTTTTTAAATGCAAAAGCGGAAGAAAAACAGATCAGTGTGAAAGCAGATATCTGATCATTTAAAGTGGTAGTAAACTGCGACCTTTAACCCCCCCCAAAAAAAAAAAAAACCTGCAAGACATTGGCATAATGAAGCCCTCCAGTGACATGCTGTCACCACTGACAGTGTTTCCATCTTCATCTGGTCCTTCTTCCAGGTTTGCGGGCTTTGGTGGCTTGAATGGCCGAGCCACGATGACGTTGTTCCCGCGCATGCGTGGGAGTCATGTTTTGCAGCACACAGCTCTGAAGGCATGCACCGGTGTTCCTTTACAAGTAAACATCTAAATGGTGCACGTTTAGGAGATATTTACAGTACCTTCAGGTAAGACTTATAATAGGCTTACCTATAGGTACAAGTGAATAAACTGACTTTATTACCACTTTAACCCTTTTGCTGCCAGAGACATTTTTTTGCATTATTTTACACACGTTTAAAAAATAATTTCAGGCCTGCAGATTACAGAAAACTCCCAAACGCTGTACATTGTCTGAAAGCAGGAACCATAGAAAATAAAATAGTGGTCGATCCAATTTTTTGGTCCCTCAGTGTTTTTAGGGCACGCAGTGTATAGAACACTACCATATGATCCGGTTGCAGTGCATTTCAAAAAGTAGTACATGCACTTCTTTTGGTGCAGTTTGATGCGATTTCAGCCCATTGAAAATGAATTGGCTGACATTGCACTGCACAGAAGTGCTGATATTGGGCGAATGCAGAACATTCCTATGCTATTCTCATGTAGTTCCTAGTGTGACTGGACCCTAAAGGAGAGGTATGAAAAAAAACAAAAACACATACATGCTCATCTCTATGCTGCAGCCTTGGTGTAATGCTGCAGCTGTCCCATGCCTACACTAACTAACCTGTGAAAGAGTGTTGCATATACAGTTGCAAGAAAAAGTATGTGAACCCCTTGGGATTACGTGGAGTTTTGCATGAATTGAGCATAAAATGTGCTCTGAACGTCATCTAAGTCACAACAATAGAAGAACACAGTCTGCTGAACATAATACTACACACACATTAGATGTTGCCATGGTTTAATTGCACATAACATGTAAACATTCATAGTGCAGGGAGGAAAAAGTATGTGAGGCCCTAGCTTAATGACTTCTCCCAGAGCTAATTGGAGCCAGGAGTGAGCCAACCTTGACTCCAATCAGTGTGATGATATTGGATGTGTTGCTGACACCTGTTTTGGGTTTACTGGTTTCAAGAAGCACTGTCTGATGTGAACCATGCCTCGCAGAAAAGAGCTCTCAGAAGACCTACGATCAAGAATTGCTGACTTGCATGAAGCTGGAAAGGGTTACAAAAGTATCTCCAAAAGCCTTGATGTTCCTGTGTCCACGGTAAGACAGACTGTCTACAAATGGAGAAAGTTTAGCACTGTTGCTACTCTCCCTAGGCATGGTCGTCCTGTAAAAATGACTGCAAGAGCACAGCGCAGAATGCTGCATGAGGTAAAGAAGAATCCCAGAGTGTCAGCTAAAGACCTACAGAAATCTCTGGCACATGCTAACATTTTTGTTGACACATCTACAATAAGGAAAACATTAAACAAGAATGGAGTACATGGGAGGACACCACGGAGGAAGCCATTGCTGTCCAAAAAGAAGATTGCAGCACGTTTGAAGTTTGCAAAAGAGCACCTGGATGTTCCACAGCACTACTGGCAAAATATACTGTGGACAGATGACACCAAGACTGAGTTGTTTGGGAAGAA